AATCCGAATTAGTGATCCAAACTTTTATTAAAAATTAGTGAAATAAAAAAAAAATGGAGGTTTATAGGATGTGGATATCTAGGGGACCTAAGAAAAACCTCAGATACTAATTTCTATAGAATTAAGACCCCTTTTTTATAGAGGTTTACAGGGTGTGGATATCTAGGAGATGTAAAAAAATGTATAAGGGGAATTTTAGGGGGATAGACAGGGACCTATATTTTTAGAATTGATTCAGTCACTCCCATCCAAATCGACAATCAAGATCCAAAATCGTTGGGTTTTAAGATACTGGTGATGCAAGGGAAGAAGCTCTCATACCATAATACAGGGAGAAAATAATAATAAATGCTAGGAAGAAGCTTTGGTATATTATAGCCTCTTTTTTATTTTTCACATAGGTATCCACCCGGGAAGCAGGAGTTACACGTGTCCCCTATCTCGCCAAAACACTCACAAAAAGTGTAAAGTCTTGTCTAAAATGCTCCCTTTATAGCATATTGTATAATTGATATGTTTAAGAAAAGCTACTAAATAATATTTTAGAGATCTATACTGTTGATTAAATATTTTAAAAGAAAATTAGAAATTTAAATGGGATTGTATAGTAGGAGACCATTTACATCATTTGTAGCCATTGGATATAATATTTAATGGAATAAAATGTTTTATAACATTCGAGAAATTTTGTTTTAGACATTGTATCTAATCAATGACACATTCTCAACCATCTGATTTCACTTCTAATGACTAATAGTAGTTGTGATCTCTTTGTATCAAAAGTAAATAGTCCCATTGTATACATTTCCAACATAAATTTTGGGGGATTTTATGTCACATGTCATTGTGTAATATAATGAAACCAAATTATTAGAAAACCATGTTTGTGGCATTTGTATGACCCTAAAAATTGCTTATGCCATTTCTTAATAATAACCAAAGTCCAAAGAAATAAAATTCAATTTATATCCTAGATATGGTCAAAATGAATCCTCCTCCAATAATGAATCCATACCATCTACTTTGTGAATTTCAAAATCTAGGCCTTTACAAAGTCAATCTTCTTCTTCTTCTTCTTTTTTTTATTTTTTTTTTTATTTTTTATTTTTATTGTTCATCTAATGATAGTAAAGGCATATGAAATATTTAGAAAAGGGAAAAAAAAAATTTCTAAGATGTAAATCTAAATATCTTGCTAAAATAGATGGCCTATCTAAATTGGACAAAAAAAAAGAACATGTTGTGTTTTCAAATTTTATTTTATTTATAACTTTTCCAATAATAAATATAGTGTGCATTTAAAGATGCAAAAGTTTAAATAAAGTTGCAACCTTACCATGTATAACTAAAAATGCACCTCAAAAATCCATCTTAAAAGGTTGTTTGGATGTTGGAAAACTATCTAATTGATCGTCTCGATATCGAGATGTATGAATATAAAAAAAAAAAACGATCTCGAGTCCGCGAACTAGTGTATCTTGCAACGCATTATCTGGACCGTTCATTTTCAAGATTTCATGTGTTTATAGATCTACTTGATTTGAACCATTTTTAAAGTCTAAAATTTTATAATTAAAGATGAAAATAGATTCTCCCAAGAATTTTTATATCAAAATTATATTTATGATAAAAATCTTGGGTGCGCCTTAAGTGAATTGTTTAAAGTTGTAACCTTATGCAAAGATTAAGGTCAAACAAATGCTTCTACCACGACTTTTGAAAATTATTTATTAAGGAAATATCTCCTAACCCCCTATTTTTGGTTTTCATTTCTCAAGAGACCCAATAATTTAAATTATTTATTGTGCCATAAAGTCTCTATAGTTTCTATCTTCCAACCCGTAGACCCTTTTGGCCATACATTATTGACCTAAACATTTTATAAAATAACTCCATCTCTGTCTCTCTCAAAACTCCATATCTCTCCCCTCTTTTTCTCTTTTTGAAAACTATGCATCTATTTTTTTACCCCAAAAAATAGAAAGAGCTTCAAAAGAACAAAGATGAACAGTAAAAAAAACTCAAAACTCAATTGAGACCTCCTTAGAGAGAACTCTATTGAAAAAAAAAGAAAAATAGTAATACTAAGTGAATCCCAAAACCCAAATCCAACTAAAACTGAGTAACTATGAAATATAACTGAAAATCAACAACTTTCAAACTAGGAATCAATAAACACAAGGAGAAATACTAGAGAGACTGAGGGATGTGCGTTTCTCATTAAAAAACGTTTCTCAAAAAAAAGAAATTGAGGGATGTGAAGAGAGAGAAAGAGACCTCTTTTTCTCTGGTGGGGTGCCATATTGGGAGAGATTATTGCAACTGATCGTCATCCTCATCGAATTATTTATACGGGAAGTATTATTGGAATTGAATCCACCTGTTAATCTCACCCCAAATCCCACAACACCGCCAGTTCCATTGCTGCTATCCTGCAAGCAAGTTTGTGAGTTGTGGCCATTGTTGCGACATCCTCTCTCTAGAGAGAAACAGAGGAGATAAAATGCTCTATCTTTCTTTCTATCTGAAACTAGACGGAGAAAGAGAGAGAGAGGAATATGGATAGCTTGAGCTGGAGATCCGAATTTAAAGGCGACCAAATTGAGAGTTGGAGACATCCATAGAGACAGAGAGAATGAGAGAGGTGAGAGACGGAGTTTTGAGAGAGAGAGAGGAGAGAGAAAGAGTTTTGAGAGAGAAAGAGATGGAGTCATTTTATAAAAGAGAAAATATCCCATATCTCCAATTTTTAAGTTTTATATCTCAATAGACCTAAAGTTTCAAAACATATCTTGAGTCATAAAAATTTTAAATTTTATATCTTTTAATCCCTTAAGCTAACTTTATTCCATTTATACCTATTTTTTATCCCAAACAAATGTAAGAAAGATATCAATTTTAAACACTATCATTTCTCTCTCTTCACGTGATTTTCTCCTAAATTTATCTCTTCCTATTTTCCCACTCTCTATCCTCTCATGTCTCTCACACTCTCTCTCCCCCATTAGAAAGACAAAGAGGATGAATGTTAGAGAGAGAATTGGAAGAATATATTGCGTAAAGAGAAAATGGTTTAGAATGAGCATGTCTTTTTTATATTTGTAAGGGTTAAAAAAATAGTTAAAAGTGAGTAAAGTTAGTCAGGGGGTTAGGATATATATTTTGAATCTTTGGGTCTATTGAGATATGAAAACAAAAAATAAAGGGTACGAGGATATTTTTCCTTTATAAAATGTTTAGGTCAATAATGTATAGTCAAAGGAGTTTAGGGGGTAGGAAGATAGAAAAGATAGAGACTTTATGCCGCAAGAAATAGTTTAAATTCTTGGGTCTTTTGATAAATGGAAGCAAAAAATAAGAGGTGCAGATGAATTTTCCCTTATTTCTTTATATTAGTCTACAATATGATGAAATCATTCCCCATTACATTTTTAATAGAGAAATTATCACAAATATACCTTGATTTTCATCTATTCAGAAAAAAAACATAAATTTCATAAACTTCATCCACACCCTTTTTTTTCAATTTTAGTCTGTAATAACTTGAATTAATATTACGGTACTTTGAATACCGTAAAACTTAAGCCATATTATACGGCATTTTAAATTACCATATTTTAAATATTGTAAAACCTAAGCCATATTATACGCATTTTAACTACCATATGGATATACATTACATACATATCAATATGGATATCTATTTGTAGAGATATATATTGACAAGGTTATTGGTGTTCATATCTCTTGATTATGATAGGATTTGGTATTTATTTGATGTATTTATCCACAACTAACCGTTAAGGATAAATACCATGGATAGATACCACCTAATTATGCTATGGATCTATTTGTAGAGATATATATTAAAAAGGTTATTGTAGAGATATATATTGCTTTCAGAGGCATATTTTTAAAATACCTATATGTACATCGAATACCTATATCTATACCGTTACAATAGGCCCTTTGGTACAATTTGGCTATTATTAGTGGATAAAATAATTTCTTTCATTCTTAAATCTTAAATTTTTCATTCTTAAATCTTAAATTATTCGATTAAGAGTCGGTACATAAAGATTTAGGTCATTTCTTTAATTTACTTTCTACTTTTAAGTTAATAGCTCGCGGCAGCTTAATCGATGTGCCTGTTTCCGAAGACCATATATACACTCCCTCTATTTCTTCTCGCCTCAAAGCATATGCTTATTTGGCTCTTACAATAAGAGAATAAAGGATGTTACCTATCGTATAAAAGGCTTGTTCGGGAAGACCATCTATGTATATATATTGTTCGGGAAGACCATCTATGTATATATACTCCCTCTAGTTCTTCTCGCCTCAAAGGATGATTATTTGACTCTTACAATCTACTTAATTGTCATGGAAGATAAAAGGACAAATCTCCAATGTTTTGGAGAGAAATCTTAGCCTGGTCGTGATCATCCACCTTCTCTCGCTCTATAAAACCTCATGCTCCTCTTGCCTCGTATCCTGGATTTTTTTTTTTTTTTGGTTTTAGAGAGTTGAGCTTTTAGCTGTTGTTCTAATTTTGGTTTTAGAGAGAAAAAGAGGATAAATACAATAGAGAGAAAAGAGGGAAAGGAGTTAGGGAGAGGGGATTTGGGGATGGAAGTGCAAAACCCCCATAAGGATGGTAGCCTCTTTGCCCGGTGTTTGCAAAAAAACGCCATAATAAATATGGTAGCCCATTGACTGCCCCAATAGTTTCCCTACTAGATTTGCTCTAAAATTTAGATAAAGTTTATTAAGAAAGGCATTTACCGGATGGATCAGTGCCTTATCACGTATAATAAGGAATTTACCTGATGGATCGGTGCCTTATCATGGATCTTAAGGAACATACTTAATTGTACTGTGCATCAAAGGATGTTTGCCATCTTTCCATCGCTAAGGCGACGGCTCTTTGCTTACTTTATAATGCGAGATTAGTTTTTTCAGTTCTATGTTCAAATTGTTGAGTGTAGTCTAAGGAGCTCATGGACGACAGGCTCAGTTGTTTCTCTGACGATATACTTCATCTCATTCTCTCTCCATTACCCATTAAAGACATTGGTAGAACTTCAGTTTTATCTAAGCGATGGAGATATGTTTGGGCCTCTGTTCCAGTTTTCAACATTGAAGGAATCAATCGGCCATGGATAATTGACCAAGCACTCCTACTCCACAATGGACCCATCCATCGGGCAGTTTTCAACAATGAAGGAATCAATCGGCCATGGATAATTGACCAAGCACTCTTATTCCACAATGGACCCGTCCATCGGGTTTGGCTGCCTCGTGATAAGTTGGTGTCTAGCAATGCTGATCGATGGATACTTGCTCTCACTAGAAAAGGCCTACAAGACCTAACGATTGATATGAAATCCGTGTCTTGGTACAAGATTCACTCCTCCATCTTCTTTTGTGATGCTTTAATGTCTCTCAATTTGAAGTACTCCATACTCAAGCCCCCAGCCGATTTCGATTTCAAGGGTTTTCAGTCCCTGGAGCGTCTCTCTCTAGAGAAGGTTTCGCTTGATGATAGCATGCTGGAGTCCCTAGTTTCGAAGAGTAGGCAGTTGAAATACCTAACGTTGAGCGAATGTAATGGCCTCTCTTCTGTCAAAATCCATGCCCCAAATGTCATTTCTTTTCACTTTAAGGGTTTCTTCAATACCCTGAATTTGGATAAGAGCTTTAATCTAAAGAATCTGAAGAACCTGAACCTGCACTTGTACCCTCATCATACCGAGGGCAATGTTCGAGATTGCAGAGCAAGCAAACTTGTGGAGGATCTACCCAAACTAGAATCGATTACGTTACTAGGCTGGTCTATGCGGGTATGAGTTGTGTTTATTATTGATGTTCTTATTGTTTTCTTTCACAAAATGTTCTCAAACATTTTGCACAATGTTTTTAAACTGGACCCCCGTCGTGCACTCAGCGCACCTACAGCACTTGAGACTCTACTGCAGAACCAATTCACCTCTTCTCTCATTCCAAAAGGTGGTGCCCTGTCAACTCGTGTCGCCCACTCATGTAACCAGAGCACTAAACAATCTACTGCAGAACCAATTCATCTCCTCTCTCACTCCAAAGGAAAGGATGGTGCTCTGTTTTCAGAGAGAGAGGGTTTTTATTTCGGACGGTGTGATTTAGAGAGAGTGTATGGTTTTTATTCCTACTACTAATACCTATATATATATATATATATATATATTA